GGAGCCACGGGCCCCCCCCGCCCTGCCGTGCCGCACCCGTTGACGGTGGACGCCATGAACACAAGGTAGGGAGGGGCCCGCCCCGCCCCGCAGTGCCTCACCCATTGATGGTGGACGCCATGAACACAAGGTAGGGGCCGAGCAGGCTCTTCACCAGGGGCAGGGGGATGGCAGCAGCTTCGTCGATCACCAGGAGCTCGGCCTGGCCCAGCCGCACGGCGTCCGCAGGGTCGCACCCGTTGACGGTGGACGCCATGAACACAAGGTAGGGAGGGGCCCGCCCCGCCCCGCAGTGCCTCACCCATTGATGGTGGACGCCATGAACACAAGGTAGGGGCCGAGCAGGCTCTTCACCAGGGGCAGGGGGATGGCAGCAGCTTCGTCGATCACCAGGAGCTCGGCCTGGCCCAGCCGCACGGCGTCCGCAGGGTGTATGTACTGTGGGGGGACAGCCCAGGCGACTTGGCACCTCCAGCCGCGGCGCCGACACACCACCCACCCAGCCACTCTGCCCCTCGCCTCTCATCCCTCCATTCTGCTGCTTCTTGGAGGAGAAAACAGGGTGAGCTTGGGGTCAGACCCTGGGGTTGAGGCTCAGTCAGTCAACCACTGCCCGTGCGACCCTGCAGGTCACCGACTTCAGAGCCTCGAGTCCCTCTTCTGCACAACGAAGAGCACCGATCTGACGGCCACTTGAGGGAACGCACACACCCTGCCTGGGGCAAGGCTCCCAGAGCAGCAGACGTAGCCTCTCCCCTCTCCCCGCTCCATGACCCCTGTGACCGCCAAGGGCAGGTCGACGGGTTTCTCATGCTGAGGCCGACCTCTCCCATTGGGGGCACACTTCTGGAACTCGACCTTCTCCTTACACACCGGTCACATGCCCTTACACGTGCGGACAGCTCCTTCAGTGTCCTCACAGCTTCCTGCTGTCACAGTGGCTCAAAGGACCATGGCAGGGAGGTGACACTAGCGAGGGTAAGGACGGCCTTGGGAGTGGCCCAAGGAGACACCAGTTCACATGCCAACAGCAACGTCAAAGGGCGGGGACGATGCAAGGAAATGCTAGCACGGGGCCAGCTGGCAGTGCCACGCTTAGGGCGGCTGGATCCACACGGCTAACTGCGCGGTTCGAGCCCCAGGCCCAGCATCTTGAGAACTCCAGCAGGCAGGTGTGCGTGCATGCCCAAAATCCAGAGAGGAGAGTGGAGGAGGGACTGCGGTGGGCCGTCCCCTGGAGGTGATTTCTCACCGTCCTCTCTCCGGCTAGCGCGCACGCCCTGCAGTAAACTCAAGAACACGCAGTGTGAGGGTGAGCGGCACGGACGCCTCACAGAGAAGCTGGCCGAAGCCCAGGAAGCTGGGAATCCAAGCATACCCTCCAGGAAGCATGGAACCCAGAGCGCCTGAAAACGCCTCTGCCAGACCGTAGCTCCCGTCTAGGCAAGCCGCGGAACAAACGGCAGGCTTTGGAAAAGGCAGGCTGACAGGAGCACACAGCCGCCACCGTCACAGACATGGCTACGCAGCGGGGACACGGCTGCGCAGTGAGGGCTCCAGGGACAGAGATAGGGAGGGGTACAAGAGGGACTTCAACGCTACTATGAAGTGTCAGTAAGCGACAATGAAATACCAAACACACAGCCAGAGACAACAGCACACTCCCGGCCCCGAGAGCTGGGCACACGGTATGCCCTCTGCCCTCCCTGTCCCTTCAGGCACTCCACAAACACATTTGACTACTCGGCCAGAAGCTGACGAGTCACGGGGCGGCAGCCACTCTGCTAACAGGACACACTCCTGGCCAGGGCGCCAGCCCCGTGTGCAGAGGGGCCGTGTGCGGAGGGGGGGGCTGAACGAGCTCAGGCGGCGGGAAGCAGCCAGGCAGGCGCGGCCCTGCGACGAAACCCTCTCCTCCTCCAGGCCCACCAAAGGAGGAGAGAGGACAGAGGCGGAGTCTCGTGACAGCGGTCACTGTGGCCGTCTGTGCTCAACCACGAGCTAGGGACAGGCGGCTCGCTGACGCACGGCGCTCAGCTAGACTCAGTAGCAGCGAGGGCTGGCGGCACCCGTTGGGGCCACGTTCCCGTCTCTGCTTGGCATCCCTCTCGTGCCCTGGCAGGTCTCAGCACTGTCACTGCCCGCGGTCTCCGCCCGGCCTGCGGCTGCCTGCCCTCTCGGTCGAGGGAAGACATGTACGAGGAGGTTCTACAGAAGAGCCCCAGAAGGAGAGGTGAGCTCTGCGCAGAGGCACGAGCACGCTGGCAACCCTCCCTCCGGGCCCACAGCGCAGAGCTCGTCCGCTCGCCCGACCCGACCCGACCCTTGAAGGACAGAAATCGGCTCCAGAAGAAGCCTGTCACTGCCCCGAGACTGGACATGTCAGCCTGACAAGGACAGTCCCTTCAGCTGACCGAGTGTAGGGACTGAAAGTTCTCGGGAACACACTGCACCAAAAGGAAAGCGGACCACAGGCCAAACCAGATGCCAGAGCACATTCTCGAGTGTCTTCCTCAAACGGTGACTGCCCCAGGGACAGTCGCAGGGCATCAAGACCTGCCAGGACTGAGCAAAGTCCGAACCAACATCAGAACCGACTTGGTCTCTGCGACCTGCCCCACAGTCGGGCAGAGCCGCCTAGACGGGCTGACCGTGACAGACACGCAGCGGCCGGCCCGGGAGACACCCGGGGACGCGAACACCTGGG